CTGCCCAAGATTGGCTTTGCTGTTCGATTTAACCTCGCGACAGGGAAGCCGAATATAAACGTAGGCTTCTTGATGCTGCTGCTGCTAAACAAGGTAACCAATCAAGAGACATGATATAGGTGTTTATTATATATTTAGTAATTTCAAATTCGGCTAATTTATTCTTGTTTTGTCTGACGATGATTTGCCAGCTTCAAGAAGAACGGATATTGCATGAGAGTCGCTAGACCAGACAGCGAGGAGACGGAAGATTAGTCGTGTGATCGATCTAATACGACCTCATTTCTTCTAGAACATATTTGGATATTGTGCTACTTGCATCAATTTTTGTTTTATAAATCTACAATTGTGTGTGGGTGAATTGCGTTTATAATTGAACAATTTGTTGGGGATCGCACCTACTAACAAACATGAGAATCATCAAATCAGTTGAGTCGTCTATTTTCGGGATAGTTACAATTTTGGTCCTTATATTATAAACATCTTTATATTATACGGTGTTGGGATATCCTCCCAATCTTATAAACTCATGATTTTTCCCACCTCAAAGGACTTCGTTTACTACACCTAACAAATTAAGAACACCTAACAAATTAAGAGTTACGTCGAAAAGGTGATGTAAAATAATTTTGTAAAATAATTTTCTCGTTTGGTTTATAAGTAAAATATTTATTTTGTAAAACAATTTTCTCGTTTGGTTTATAAGAACACCTAACAAATTAAGAGTTACGTCGAAAAGGTGATGTAAAATAATTTTGTAAAATAATTTTCTCGTTTGGTTTATAAGTAAAATATTTATTTTGTAAAACAATTTTCTCGTTTGGTTTATAAGTAAAATATTATGTAACAAAATTGCACTAAAACCAGAAAATGTGATGTAAAATAATTTTCTTGTTTGGTTTATAACTAAAATACACATATGGATTTCCCTAAAAAAATTGAGGAAAATGTGTCATTCTATCTTCGTCCCTTCACACTTCTTTTGGGTTAGAATTTCTTTTAAAATAAAAAAATATATCTCTTTTTAGAATTTATTTTGAAATAAAAATGATCCAAACAAAGCCTTAGTTTTTAATAACAATTCATTTTTATTTTCATTTTTATTTTCATTTTACTTGGTATTTTTCTCGCTATTATCTGTGATCCTTTAAGTTGGCTTTCTAATCCAACTTAGACCAACTAGATTGAGATTTCATGTCGGGTGCATGTTGAGTGCATGTCAAGTGAATGTCGTATGCATGTTGGATGCATGCTGGGTGCATGTTGGGTGAATGTCGAGTGAATGTTGTGTGCATTTCAAGTGAATTTCTATGGAATGTGGGGTGCATGTCGGGTGCGCGTTGGGTGCATGTTGGGTGAGAGAGATATACATGCATGAATGAAAATTGGAAGTCAAAATGGTATAAATAAAAGCGAAATGAAATTTTAGTTAAACAATTATATAATATATATAAAAAAAAGAATTATTCGAGCCTGGAGATGTATTTGGTCCTCCGCCCATCCCAAGCCAAACGTGCCCTTAGCAGTCTGGTACATCTCGATCTGCATAGTGACCCGATCCTGAACCCGCGGATCCCAGGTAGTCCGTACAACACAACACAACAAACCAGTTGCAACTTCTGGGTCGATAAACATATCGCTCGTGTAGAAAAGATTGGGGTTCAAATAGTAACCCGCCTCGTGAATCGGGGTGTATAGTACTCACTCCAAATCTCGTCTATCACTTTTCAAAACCTCGTGTATTGTGCTTTGTTCTTTTTGAACCCTTGTTTAATAGTCTCCTTCGCTTGATCCATCGTTTCGTATATATATCCCATCTGCTCCTTATTATTATTCCCCGTCTTCCATTGTATTACGCGCACGAGAGGTATAGCTGCTTTGAGCACATCCGATGCCCCCTTCCAAAAAGATTCATCACTCACCAAATCAAATACTTCGTCCCAACCCTAGTCTGCCAAAAAAATGGGAGAGCGAAACAATTTGGTCAATATTTTTTTCTCCAAGACGATATTCTCGATGGTTAAGAAAGGCTGCGTTGAATTGATCTTCGAACACTGCTGAAAAAAATCACGACCGTCCGTTTTCTCCTTCGGATACTTGAGCGCATTATGGTTTCCGTAAATAAAACTCGTAAATATTTTCGCCTTCTCCAGGATTTCTTTGATGACGTCCATTTCCAACAATTTCTCCAGCATGAGCTGCATGCAGAAAGATCCGTTCACCGACCAAAATATTTGTCGGTATTTCTCCGCCAATTCCTTCGCCACTTCCTTGGTAAAAATAGAATCGAGATGTAATAACTTGAACCACATTCTCAATCCCAACTTCACTGAACACTTTATTGAATAACATTTTCATTTCGTCAATTTATCCAATATAATCGGAAATATCGTACGTGCTGAGATAAATGGTTGCTCTCGGTGAGTCATCTAAAACATTGACGAAATCCCTTCCCGTTTCACCCTTCCATTCATCGAGCAAGATAGTGCATCCTGTGTGCGCCCACGAATTCCTAGCATCGTCGAAATATTTAGTCACTTCTTTTAATGCATCTTGAAATAACGGCCCTTTTAGCTCCTCGAGAGTGGGGATGTGGCAATTTCTAGGGCCCACCATGTTGTGGAAACTTGGGAAACTTACTGAATGAAAATCGAGCCCATTTTCCAATAAGAATCTTGCAATATCCTCTTTGGTTTCGTTTATCGATGGATCAACTTTTGTGGTGGAATTTTGTGGATGATTACTATTATCATGCTGGTTTGAGATGGAAGATGATTCGACCCCGATGTTGTTTTGTGATGATTGATTTGTTTGAGTGACTTATTCCGTATCAAGAAGCTTCTCCACCGGACCCTCTTGAGCAGAAATTTCGATGCACCCTCACATGTTTGGCTCAGTATTCGAATCTCACTTTTTTAGCTCTGGACATTTGCCCCCATAATTCGACCACCATTTTGCTGCAATTTAAAATTAACAATAAATAAATAATTAATATCAAGAATTAACCGAGCTTAATGTCGTTTAAATTTTATGATACCGATTTCAAATGTGATTTTAACCATTTTTTATGTCTGAATTATGCAAAACTCAAAACATCAAATTTGTAAAGTTGGCATAATAATCCAACTTATACCAACTCGATTGAGATTGCATGTGGATGTCGGGTGCATGTCAATTTTCAGGTGCATGTCGAGTGAATGTCGGGTGCATGTTGGGTGCATGTCAAGTAAGAGAGATATGCATGGATGAATGAACATTCGAAGTCAAAATGGTATACATGAAAGCGAAACGACATTTTAGTTAAACAATTGTAGTATATATATATATATATATATATATATATATATATATATATATATATATATATATATATATATATATATATATATATATACATATATATATATATATATATATATATATATATATATCCTACATATATATAGACAGAGAAATAGATATATGTGTATATATACATCTCAAATGTGCCTGATAACATTATACAAGAACACTTGTCAGAATCATTACATATATATTTTCCCTTTCCGAGAACACATAATAAAATTTCTTTAGAAAAAAATAAATATAC